GGGACCACACAGCCGAGGCTGACAACCCCGGGAAACCGGAGCAACAGGCCAAGTTCGTGGAGGGCACTGTTTACCCGGTGCGTGCTCTGGAAACCGCCCCATGGAAACCAAGTTCAGAGAAAGAGAAACCTGTTTCCCCTTCAGCTCTCTGCAACGTCAGGGTAGGGTCATCTCCATGACTTACTGAACGTCTGTCTAAAGTTCCAAAGAGGTCACCCGTGAGATCACCGCCCTCTACACATGTGTGCTTTGCTGCAAGCTCCTTCCATTCCCTGCGTCTCAGTTTCTTCATCTGTAAAATGGGGATAAAAATAAGATCTTCCTCATAGTGAAGGTTAAAGGGATTATTAAATTATGTAAAGTGCTTAGAAAAGTGTAAGTGTAAAGCATGGTAAGGGCTCATGTTGCTGCTGTTCTTACTCTGTGTGAGGATAGCTTCAGGTTCAGATTGCTTCCACATAGCCTATCGGGTAAAGTATTTATAAATTAAGCTGTGCTTCCAAATTTGCAACAAAGCTACAGGTCTCCTGTAAGAATTAAGATGTAGGTTTGGCTGCATTTAACAAACACACAGAATAAGGATAGCTTAAGCAAGACGGGGATTTATTCTTTCTCACATAAATGTTGGAACTGCAATAGCTTCTCTACAAAGTCAGCTGGAGGGTAGTTTGCTTTGCTTTTTGCTCGGGTTCCCTGGGGTGTGTCCTGGCTTTGCAGGGTCCCAAGTGTTACCTACCGTCCCTTCACATCCCAGCGGGAGAGCAGTGGGGAGGAGGGAAGGGAAGCTGTGACATGGACATGGCGTTCTCAGCTCTGCTTGCCCTCTGTCGGCCAGGACTCGGTCTGCAGTGCTCATTCTCTGTGGCCCCACACCCAGCCTCAAGTTCTCTTATTCTGGGAGAAAGACAGAATGGACTTTGGGGGAAAAATCTCTGCCACACTGCCAGTGTTCACAGTAGAATATCCATTTCTAAATTTCAGAGATAAAGGGTTTAACGCAGGGACTAAGGGACTCTGGAGCCAGACTGCCTCCGTTTAAATCCCAAGCTTGCTACTCATTAACTGTGTGACTTTCAGCATGTTCCTCGAGCTCTCTGGGCCTCAGTTTCCTTGTTTGTAAAATGCAGAATACGTCTTTAGCCTCTAACCCATAAAAACTAATTATACACCACATATCTACATCTGTCTCTATCTAGTTTAGAATATGGACCATTTATAGTAATCATCATAATTTTATTTTGCTATTATTGTATTAATAAACCCAGTATTATTATAAACTCAATATTTTTAGTGAATAAAACAGATACACAACTTTCTCCAAGACAATAGTATTGCTGATAATATATGAAGTTTTAGTGTACTGGTGAGTTTAAGCTTTTTTCCTAAGATATTCTACTATAATAATAACATAAACTCCTAGGCCCTCACATTTGGTTTAGAGGTTTATACATGTAACATGCCTAAGGTCGTCTTGTACAGCAGCAGTGTGTACATCAGTGTGTACCAGACCTAGAGCCAGAGGACTTAGATTCAGATTATTTGCTGTGTGACCCTGGCCTGCCATTCCTCCACTCCGAACCTTAGTTTCCTCTTCTGTTACACAAGGAGACAGCACCACCCATCTTAGGGTGTGGTTGTGAATATGAGATGAGAGGGCGACCGGGAAACCACCGAGCCTTCCCGCCTGGCCCCTGGTTAGGTGTGCGGCAAAGTCCTGCTGTATCTGAAACCCCCAAAGACAGATCCTGTCCTCGCTGCTCTCTGAGAGGGGCCAACCGTGGGCAGCTTCTCCATCTGGGCGCTTGGGCAGAGGAAGTAGCAGTTTTAGAAACCAATGGCCCGCTGCCATGTCTTTGCTGGATACAGAAGTACTTTCCTTAAAGAGCGAAGTACTGAACCTTCCACTCACCTGCCCACGACTGTGGTTCCCATAGAGAGGAGGGCGCGTGAAGGTCAAGTGCAAGGTGAGAATGTCCTTGGGACGACAGCTCCCTTCTGCCCGCCTCCCCTACTTCGCTTTCTTTCCCCTCCCACCCGTCCCTCAGAGACGGATTATGTCTCCCCTGACAGGTTCTGGAGATAGAATTTTCCTCAGAACGGGGAAGAGCCTCTATTAGAGCTGCGGCTGCTTATCTCGCACTGTCCCTGCCGCCTCCACCTCCTCCTCATCCCTCCTGGCTCTCTCGGGTTCCAACTCATCGCATTCCTCTTCATTTTTTTCTTCCTCCCCCCTCCCCCCACTCCAATCTCTCGGTCTGCTTTGCAAGATTAAAAAGAAGTGAGTTTGCGATCTCAAAACCTGATGCAGGCGTTTGAATTCCTTCTTCCTTTTCAAGAAAGCTCCTTTCCTCTTCTCTTACATCACACTGGCAACTGCAGATGCCAGGGATGGAAAGTTCTGGAACTTTAACCATTGCACCAGTTATGTGACCTGGGACAAGTCAAGCTACTACACCTCTCTCAGGAACCCAGTTTTGTCTTTTGAAAAGCAAGGAGAATTTATAAAAAAAAAAAAAAAGAAAAAAGAAAAAGAAAAAAAGCAAGGGGAATTAAATCCTCTCTTCGAGGGGAAATTAAATCCCGATAAACAATTAAGGAACCTCGCACAATTCCTAGAATAGAGTAGCCATTCATTCAATCATTTTTTTTTCTCTTTTTTGCTTTCCTTTAATTTTTTCTTCTCCCTTGCTAATTCTTTAATTACTATAAAGGCTGCAGAGCTTATTCACAAATAGTTGAAGTGTCAACAACTTGTAACTGGGACAACAAAGAAAAGGGATGAATCTATTTCTCGCTGAATCCAGGTTATTGAGTACCTACCTGTGCCGGGTCATTTCTATACAGTTTTCATATATGGAGATGCACTTCATATCCTCCTAGTAAGCCTGAGAAGCAGGTGTCCTTGTCACTGGCTGGAGGTAGCAGACCTTGCCCGAAGTCACACAGATGGAAAGGGCGGGACTTGCACCTGACCCCAAGCATCTGCTGCGGCTCAGGTGAATGCTTTCCCACAACCCCATGCTGCTCTCTCCTAAGCGGCTGAGATGGAGCCTCCGTCCGGCCTGGTCAGGAGCACAGAAACTAGGCATTTAAAACACAGGAAGTTTCATACAGGGAACTGGTTACACAGGTGACAGAAGGGCTGAGAGCCCAAACAGGATTCCAGCACTAAAAACCCACAGGCAACTCAGAAGTTCCCATAGGAAAAGTGACAGGTGATTCAGAGGGTCCAGCAGTAAGAAGTTGGTGCCACCCCTGGAGCTTTCGATCACAGGGAAGTGATGGCACTGCCAGAGCCCAGAAGTGGAGCCCTGCCGTGGGAGTGGGAGCCAGAACCACGGCGAGGGCTTCCTTGTAGGAGCCGAGTCCCAGGAGAGAGGGCGCTGTAGCCTCCAAAGCCCAGAGAGAGGGAGGGAAAGGCCCCAAACGTTTTCCCATCTTCTGCCCGTGCCCCCACCCCACCTTGGATGAAATTACTGGGGAGCAAAGGGCAGAGGAGCCTGGCAGTGTCATTCCCCATGGGGCAAGCAGAACAGGACCTGACCTTGGGGTGGGTTTTTGAGAACAAACAAGAAGCCAGCGAAAACTGCAGTGATGGAAGAGGAGGAGAGCTTAGAGAGGACCCGATTAACTTGAAACACTTAAGGAGAGGCACAAAGGAAAGTTACTCGACGAAGGAGAGTCCACTTGCAACCGAGGCGATTCTCAGGTTGTCGGCTTTGACCGGGTCCTAAGGACGAAGCAGCATTTCTCCAGGGAGGTGGAGGGGAGACCCAGGTCAGGGGAGGAAAACAACAGCCCGTAAAATGGTGTTGCATTAGGAAAACACCTCTCCTTGCAGGTAAATGGAGCAGGCGCATTGAAGAAGGGCTTGCTATGGGTACTGGTGACCCATTGCGGAGTTTGAGGAAGGTAGAATTGGTCAGAGCAGGGAGGAGGGCCATTTTTTAGGAGGTGGTGGTCCTGACTGAGTTTGTTGTAGCGTGCAGTAGAAAAGGTTTGGAAAACCTTAAGATGATGACCAGGCCTCTCTGAGTACTGAGTGTCAGATAGATCCACAACCGGGAGCTCTCCTGCACAGCCTGGGGCATTTCAAACCCACCCAGCAAGTGTCAGGCTACAGGCCACTTTCCTATTTGTCCTTCAGAGACAGAGAGGCAGAGTTGATTCTGTGTTAAAGATCAAATACATATTTGTCTGGATCCTACAGCACCAGGAGGGTGTGAGAGCCCCCCTGCACCGCACTCCCTGCTATTTCCTTTGGTTTCTGCTTTCCCTCCAGCTCTGCCACCCGCCCTTCTTGCACGGCAGGTAGAATATGTCTCCCCGGCTCCCTTGCATTCTGGCTTCTGGTCGGGTTCAGCCAATGGGAAGTGCCGGCTGGAGTCACAGCGTGGAGGAGAGATGCAGGTGTTTACGCCTGTGTCTCTCCCTGACAGCCTCAGGTGGCTTCCCGCCCTGAGATGACAGCACGTCCAGCCTAGGCCAATGGCTTCCCTGTGTTCATAGTCCCTGGATGCTTCTCCCATTCCTTACTTGTTCTTTCAACTCTACCCGAACCTCTATAAACAGTCCTTGTGTTAAACTTTCTCGGCAAGCCTTCGGAGTGTGCCGTGCGTTCCCAGCCAGGCCCATGCCCGATCCTACATCCCTGGGATACTTACACAGTCACAGAACCTCCGTCCACAGGATGTCACAAAATACCTAGACGGTGTTGGCGGGAGAAGGACTTTGGACGTGCCTCAGTAGGTCTAACTTCCTAATTGTGCCGATGAGGGTCTAACTGGAGCCCAGAAGGGAGAAACCCATGTCACAGCCAAGTGGCAGCTGAATGAGAACAGGCTTTCCCCCCAGCGTATTCACCACAACATCACACAAATTATTTTTTCCCTTAACTAAGTAAAAGTAATATTTTTCTTCAATTAACTCGTGTGTAAAAAATAAATGTTTCCATCATAGCAAAACTGCCTTATATAACCAAGAGATTCAATAAGCTGCCATTAAGCATAGCATGTGCTGAAGATAATAGCAATTTATGTTATGCCATATCTCCTTGTTTACACTGAAGTTGGTTGTGTTTACAGAATAGAGAATTCATTTTCCATATTCTGTGTCTGCTCAGTTGGCCTTTCTTTCCTGTGCTGTTTTAAAAGGCATCTAGAATGATAAATTATAACCATTTACGGGGAAGACAAGACAGGAGGATCCCAGTCATCCCCCACACCTGCTAGCAAAGAGCAGCTTGTGTCTACACAGAGGGCTCGAGAGATCTCTCTCCCATCCTTGTCGAGATAAACGCTCCTGATGGTCTGCTCAGCTCCCGGTGAGCTTTCTTAAGCATACCTAAGCCCCAGTTAGTGGGGTGATCCTGTGTCTCTGGCCAGGTGATTAGGCAGGGATGGGAGGCACTGACGCAAGTCAGCCAGTCAGGTTCCTTCCCCAGGCATTTGGAACTAGGACGGGGTGCTTGCTGAAGACAGAGGCCAAGGTACAAAGCCATGTGTCCCGACAATTCCAGAGCCGTGGGTGGCTGTTTTCCGCCATGTGCACTGGAGAATGGAGAAGTTGGAACCTCAAAGGCAGAGTGGTCATTTGGTCTCAGTCCCAACAGTTCCCACCAGGGCCTGACCACCTTCCTGGCCTGGATTGTGGTCCATGTCCTGTCAGCGCACTGTTCACCTTCATGTGGCTTAAAGCACACATTGGTTCCCGTTATTTAAAACATGTCCTTATTATTCACACACCCTAAGGACGTCCCAGTCAGCTGTGAAGAGGCAGAGCTTCCTGGAGAGACACATTCAGAAGTTCTAGGCCGAAAGCAGACTTTGAATCTGTCCCGTGAGTCATGACACTCCCAATAAGTAAGGTTTCCTTCCATCTGACTTGCAGGAAGTGGCTCAGAGAAACCTCATGTCACCCAGATAAACAGAGAATTTCCTGTTTAAAAAAAATATAAATATATATACACATACACACATCTTAATATCATTACCTCCCCCTCCCCCTTGCAGATGAGAAAATGAAGGTACAAGAGGTTAAGAAACACGTACCAAGGTAAAACAACAAGTACGTGGTAGAGGCTCAACTCAGAAGCAGGACACTCTTTGCACATGACCCTGATTGATTGACAGGCCTCCTGTCTCGAGGACCCAACCTGATGATTCCCTGTGTCCAGCCTTATCCGCTTCTTTAGGGCTGGCGTCACCCTGACATCCACAGCTGCCAGGATTGGGATTTCTGCCTGTGCAGAGTCCTTAGCTCCCCAGCAGGTCTAGTCCTGTGGTTCTCCAGCTCTAGCGTGGTCAGAACCACCTGCAGGACTGACTTCAACACAGACTACTGGACTCTCCTGTCAGGGTGTCTGATTCAGAAGGTCCAGGGTGGGGACCGGGGATTGCATTTCTAACAAGTTCCCGGGTGACGCTGTTGCCGCTCTTCTGGGACCCCACGTTAAGACATGGGCTGACCTTTGCATCTGACAGGTAAAGACACTGAGGTCCAGAAGATGCAAGTGACATTGCCGAGGCCACAGTGAGAATAGGAACCTTAGAGCCCAGACCTGCAGCTCCTGGGACCCTGCCTTTAACTCCTCTCTATTCAGGGTGACCCCAAAGGTAAGCACAGGCCAGGCAGGTAATTTTTCAGTTCCTCTAGGAGAGAATGACTTGGGATGCTAAAGTGACAGGAAATGTTCTGATGTGTCTTGATACTTTTAAAGCCTCTGGGAAAAATTAAAAGCAGTAAGAGATGGAAAAAAATGCTATTTGTTACCTACTGCTCTTACAAGAGAGCTCCTTCCTATAGGAAAGGACCCTGCCTCACCTCTTGGAAATTCGGTATTAGGGAGTAAGGGGACAGAGCGGGGGAAATGAGGTTCTCATGCTCACGCTGTATCTTTCCCTGTTTGGGACACACAGCAGAGATACACTCCCTTCTTTCTGTGATCTGTTTGAGACGAACAATGAAACTGGAGGTTTTCTTAGGTTCAGTCCGTGTGATAACCTAAATTTTAACTCACTCACCAGCACTTTCGGAAAATGCTCCTAAAATATTACTGTGAATTTCCATAAGATCAGAGAGTCCCAGACCTGCAGTGTTCCTCTGGAGGGTCCGATCCCCTGGCAGGAGGCACTTGGACTTATGCTGTCCCCAGATGATGATACTGGTGATGATGACAATGATGACAGCTAATATTTAGGAAGTGCTTACTTGCCTAGGTCCTGTCTAAGGGCTTTACACGTGTTAATGCTTAGAACAATCTGTGAAGCAGATGATATTACTTTTAATCTCATCTCATGGATGTAAAAACTGAGACACAGAGATGTTAAGTAAGTTGTGCTAGGGCACACAGCTAGTGATGGCAAAGGCCAGAAGTTAAACCCAGGCAGTCTGGCCCTTAACTTCTCACTGCTCTATCTCTGACGATGGTAACACAGAGTGTGTCTATCACTTTGTGTCTAGACAATACTGCATCAGAGGTGGCATCTGTCAACTCTCAGAGTTGTATCCTGGACAGAATAAGGACTTTGGAGGCAGATAGGCCTTAGGAATCTCTGTCACTTACTACCTATGAGTGACCCAGCCAATCCATTGATTTCTGTGCCCCTCTCCATCTGTGTGTGTGAAAGCCGTAACAACAGCGCCCTCCCAGAGCAGGGGTGAGCGTAAATAGTTCTCCACACAGTGTCCGACAGAGCCCCTGGAAGACAGGGGGTGCTCAAGCTGTGTTAGTTCTCTCCTCGCCTTCTCCTTCAAGAACAGAATAAAAATAGTTTTAGACTGCTCCAAGAATAATAGATGAGAATAAGAATAGCGCGGAAGACCTTAGAGAGCATCTAGTTCAACCGAAGCATTTTACAGACGGAGAGACGGAAGCTTGAATAATGAAAGCTGGGCATAATGGAGAACTTTTCAAGGAGGAGGTTGCGCAACCTCCTTTGCAGGTTTATCATTTTGTTCATTCTTCTTCCTAGAGTAGAATATATTTACATATGCAGTGGCCCTGCCCAAAGGCTGAAAATTAGATCAAATGAATCCTATGTGTCATTGGATAATATATTTTAAGAAAATCTTATAAACTAAAAAATTGAAGAAGGTAACTTACATCTTTGAGCATCTTTTATGTATCGGGCACTGTATTTATACCCCTCGCTTGTTTCATTCTAACAACGTCCCTGTGGGGAGGATATTACTTCTTTGGTGTGCAAATATAGGAGGAAAATGAGGTCCAGGGAGAAAGAGTAGGACACAATGGATCGGAGGTGGTAGAGGCAGGATTTGAACCAGGTCTGTCTTGCTCTTGTTTATTTGGAACTCAAACTCTTACTCTTATACAAGTATAAAGGCTTCTTACTTGTGGTGTGCAAGCGTTGTGTGTGTGTCTACACTGATGCTCAGATATACCGATGACCACTTGTCCATCGGGCACCTAATGAAGGGTGTCATTTATATGCACATTCAGTGGAACTTAAGGTCACTGGATGTCAAAGGCAGGTCTCCGTTAGAGCTGGGCTATTTCATTACAAATGAAATGGAGATGTACAAGGAGCCCTGACTTTCACCCATGGCTGTTGCCTGCGCCTTGACTGTCGCACTCCATTTGGCTGTGTGTGCAGAGGGGTCTCAGATCAGTGGGTCAACAGAGACTCGTCCGACCTGAGCACTGAACAGAAAAGTCAATTACGGAGAAACAACCAACACTTGGGAATAGCTCCTTCTGTGGGTTATCAGAGCTTGACCTAACTAGAGGGGACTGCAGTCAAGTTGAAGAGCTTTTACACAAAAAGGGAATAGGCTTGTTAAATCTGCTCCCTTTCAGCCCCGAGGGATAGAAATAAGGCCATGAGATGGAAGTCACGGGGGACCAGACTGGCCTTGACATACAAAGGAACTTTTCGTTCGTCAGAAGTGTGTCAAGATGGAAAGGCACGCTTTGCAAGGTGACAAGATCCCTGTCACTGGAAGTGTATGAATGCAGCTTGAATGAATGTTCTTAGGGGATCTTGAAGATGACATTCAAGCAACAGATGGCCGATTGTATCAAGTATGATTAGATATTCTGTCTCTCTCTCTTTTTTTAAATTCAGGATATTATGGGGGTACACACATTTTGGTTACATGCAATGCGTTTGCCTTGCCCACACCAGGGCCACAAGCATGTCCTTCCCCGATACAGTGCACTCCATTTCCATTAATTGTGCTACCATGTGAGCACCTCAGTGTTGATCAGTTAGTACCAATTTGATGGCAAGTACATCAAATGGTACTTGTTTTTCCATTCTTGTGATACCTCCCTTCAAAGGATAGGCTCAAGCTCTATCCAGGATAATATAAGAGGTGCTAGTTCACCATTGTTTTTTTATGGTGAAGTAGTATTCCATGGTATACATATACTACATTTTATTAATCCACTTATGTATTGATGGGCACTTGGGTTGTTGCCACATCTTTGCAATTGTGAATTGTGCTACTATAAACACTCGAGTGCAGATGTCTTTATTATAGAATGTCTTTTTTTTCCCTTTGGATAGATGCCTAGCAGTGGGATTGCTGGATCAAATGGTAGTTCTATTTTTAGCTCTTTGAGGTATCTCAAAGTTACTTTCCATAGGGGTTGTACTAATTCACAGTCCCACCAGAAGTGTAAGAATGTTCCAGTCTGTCCATATACACACCAGCATTTGTTTTTTTTGGGGGGACTTTTTGATAAAGATCATTCTCACTGGAGTTAGGTGATATCTCACTGTAGGTTTGATTTGCATTTCCATAATGATTAAAGATGTTGAGAACTTTTTTATATGTTTGCTGGCCATTAGTCTGTCTTCTTTTGAAAGGTTTCTGTTCATGGCCTTTACTCATTTATTGATGGGGTCGTTTGATTTTTTCTTGTTGATTTTCTTAAGTTCTAGATAGATTCTTATTAACAGCCCTTTACTGGATGTGTAGAAAGCAAATATTTTCTCCCATTCTGTAGGGTGTCTGTTGTCATCTAATCTTTGATAAGGCAGACAAATATATACATTGGGGAAAATAATCTCTATTCAATAAGTGGTGCTGAGAAAACTGGATATCCATATGCAGAAGATTGAAACTGGATCCCCACCTCTCACAAAAATCAACTCATGATGGGTAACAGACTTAAACCTAATGCACAAAACCTTAAGAATTCTGGAATAAAATGTTGAGAAGACTCTTTTACATTGGCGTAGGCAGAGAATTTGTGAAGAAGACCCCCAAAGCAATCACAGAAGAAATTAAAATAAACAAATGGGACCTGATCAAATTAAAAAGCATCTGCACAGCCAAGGAAACTATCATTAGAGATTCCTTCTTTTAACACTGGGACAAGGTTCTGATGACAGTATAGCCAAGAATGCCAAGAATACCCAAATCTCAGCCTCATCCCAGTGACACCTTCCTTGTGAAGTTCTTGGGAAAATTCTACTTACAAGGAGCAATGAAAATAAGAAACAAAACCAGCATTTTGTTATTGATTGGGTCAGTGTGTTTTTTCCCTCAAGGGTATATATATATGGTATAGCTGGGTTAGAGCAAAACCTCACGTATACAACCATCGAGGTTTCTACCTTCCCTGAAGTCCCAGTGGATCCTAAGATCACAAGCTCCCTGGCTTGCTGCACTGATCGTGAAAACAAAACAATGACATACTCGTCAGATACACATGCAAGGCAGAAAGGAGAGGAGATCCCAAGAGCTGAATACCAAGTGGGCTCTAGCTCAGCTTTCAACCCGCTGCATGGAGAAACACAGAGGGAAGACCCATGTGCATTTATGCAACATTTTGATGCATGCTGACTCTGTGCACTGGCAAATATGCCACGATGGACTATTAAGCTGGTAACTCCCTTGCCTTGTAGAGAAACTAACAGGGTTAGGGGAGAGGAAACTTCCCTCCTATCTATACCCTCTGGCACTTAATCATGTATTAGACTATGGAAGGGCCAATGAATAGAAGTTACAGTGAGCTGAATTTTTGAATCAATATTAGGAAGGGTTTATAATGGAGCTGCTCCAAACTATAACAGGTGGATGATTACAGCATGAGTTCTCTTATAGCAGGAACAAATTCTTTATTATCTCTGTAGCCTCCAAGATGCCTGGCACAGAACTCGTGGCAGAGCAAGTGTTGGGGAACGGTTTGTGGAGTCTGGGCTGAGTACATTGCTACAAAGGACCTCAGAGACCAGATGACTGTTCAGAAGAGCTTCTTGCATGCAATTTATCATTATACTATATAGCCTCTATATTTCATATTTAAAAGTCTGAGACTTGAAGTTTAGGACTTATTTGTGTGTTTTAAAATGGATTGGGCGCATTGTGAACTCTTATAACAGTTAAACCATAAAACTACTCTTCTAAGGGTGTGGGTGTGGCTTTTAGTGACGGGAGAAATTGAGATTCGTAGAAAGAGTTAGATTTGAAGTCAGAGAGACCTGGGTTATGGTAACAATTACATGAAATAACAGGAGGAGGTAGACTGGCCTGGCTCTGAATACCAGCTCGGCCACTGCGGGGGAAGCAGAGAGTCCAAGCGGGAAGCTGTGGGCGAAGGAATCTTAGGCTGCCCAAGCCAGACACAACTGTACAGATGTTGTTATGTTCATTCTATGAGACAAGCCTATGGTCACACTTTGAAAATTCCCAAGTGATATCTTTCCTGTCTCTCATGGCTGAGTGACCTTAGAGGTAGCTTCTAAAACTCAAATACAGTTCTGTGTGATATTTCCTTTTGTATACATACTTTTCTGTACTTTCTATTCTGTCCACCTTGAACACGACTCCCAAATTTGTGTCACCAACTTGAACCTCTTCTTTGAACTTCAGATGTGCAGCTGCTTCCTTGCCATTTGTACTTGGATATCTAATGAGCAGCTCTAGCTTAGCATGCCCCAGACCTGCTCCTCCATAGCCACCTGCATCTCAGAAAGTCACTACTCTGGCTCTCCAGCCGGTCAGGCCAAACCCTGAGGTCATTCTTCACACACTTCTCTTTGTCACTAGCCCAGGTCTAATCCATGGCAAATCTGTTGTCTCTCTCTTCAAAGTAGAACCAGAATTTCATTTTGTAGTAGATGATGTTACTGTTATCCAGCTACCCTGACTTCTCTCTGTGTGATGGTCCTCTCTCTGTGAGAAGCATTTTCATCCCTGCTGTGCGGAACTCGGGGGCAGTCCTGTGGCTCACTCTGGCCAATGTCTCTTTTACAACTGGTGACGTCCAGATGGAAGATACTTGTGTTTGCAGTAAAGATAAAATGAATTAGAGCCACAGACATTTCACGAACACATGCACCTTAGCAAGCAATAAACCTTTGTTCTATGCCACTAAGAGAGTGGGGATCTTTTGTTATTCGGGCATTCCATAGCCTATCCTAACTGATACAAACCACTTCTCATCACCTGTACTGTGAACACACCAGTCCAAGCCTCTTTCAGCTTCTGCAGGGAGTACTGAAATAGCCTCTCTATTTCTACTCCCCCCCCCCATAATAGTTTATTTTCAACATGGCAGCTGAAGTGATCCTTTAACAAAATAAACTGGATCATGTCATTCCTTCACTCAGAATCTTCCAATGGCTTCTCTTCATATTCACAATTAAGGACAACGTCCTTACACGCCTGTTTACAAAAGGCCCTACATGACCCTACAGGGTTCTTTCTGCCACTCCCACCCCCAGCACCACTATCTTTTGGACCTTATATCCCACTCCTCTCCTACCATCCACTGAATTCAGTCATATTTTCCTCCTTGCTGTTCCCCAGACATGCCAAGTACGATCATGCCTCTGAACCTTTGCACTGGCTCTTCCCCCTGCCTCGTTGCTCTTCCCTCTGCTATCTCCGTGGCTTTTCTACCACTTCCTTCTGTTCTGTGCAGTGTTCCTATGTCTTACTATCTACCTTCAAGCTCTCTCTCTCCTGCTACCATGCTTTATTTTTCTCTCTCATGTGTATCATCATCTGACCTACTATACATGCACTTTACATTTGCCATCTGTCTCCTCCCTCTAAAATTTAAATTTCATGATGGCAGGAACTTGTCTTGTTAATAATAAAATAGCTGTATAACCCCGTACTTTGACTTGTATCCATCACAGGGCTCAATAAATATTTGCAGAATGAACGGAAAAGTAAACTTTTTATAACCAGAAAGAGTAAATAAAACAAAACAGGGGTAGAGAGAAGAATGTGTTTCTTTTTTAAAAAGAAAGCAATTTAGTGGTGGTGGAGACAGATAGTCACACACAAATGTGTCTCAAATTTCAGGACCACGTTAATGAATGCTATGATGTAAGTGGCATCCCTGATATATTAAGCTTCTCACTGTGAATTCAATTGGCACCGTGTACAGTTGGCACAAATTTACTCATTTTTCACTTAAAAATAAAACTCCTTTTAAAAACTGTCCCTGTTCCACTGATAAAAAAGAATTTTTTTAAATAAAAGGAAAAGCCAAAATCAAAAATTACTATATTTTTATATTTCTGTAGCCCTTTGTGGTTTTCAAAGATCTTTAACATTCTTTGTCTTTCAGAACTTCACTGAGGGACAGAGACTGTTGTCCCCATTTACAGATGGTGAAGTAGAAGGCCAGGAAGGTGCAGTGATTTGCCCAAACTCCTAACGGAACGGAAGTGGCAAGGCCAGAATTCTAACCGGTTAGCCATCCTAATCCTGACACCAAGAACAATACTCTTTTTTTACTCTCCACGCTATCTCCCTCGATTTAAAGTAGTATGAAATAAGATCATACAACTGAAAATCCCTTGCAAATGGAAAAGTATATGACAAATGTTCTTCTTATTTTTATTACTGCTGCTACTGCCATTCATGAGGTGTATTTGGAAAACTGTAACCTCAACTGGAAGTGAAGGGTTTGGACAAAAGCGTCTCCTAGGGTCTTTTTCAGCCTGCATAGTCGATGATTTATTTTCCTTTAAGATCCTCTGGCATTACTAAATGGGCCTGGGCAAGTCCTTCCAGAAAGGATCAAAGAAAGGGCTGTCAGGGAGGAGAGACAAACATGAGAAAGTTCAGCACCTCAAAAAAAAGTAATTATTTCAGAGCAGGAGAAGCCAGCCAACAAAAACACCACGCTCGCGGGTTTCAAATGAAAGTGTCTTTTCAACCACGGCTTTAATGGAAACCACTAATGAATCAGGGTACCTGGTAAGGAATAAATAACAACTTCAAAGGCATTTGGGGCTCGGGCAGAATGCAGAGGCTGATCTAAGAGAGTCGAACAGGACACAGAAGGTTGTTTTTCTCGTGCTGGAAGGAAGTTGCAGCAAGTGTGTTTATTACTTATTCATTCATTCTGCAAATGCTTAGTGAATGCCTACTGTGTGCCCATCATTGTTCTCAGAGACAGTGCACTTTCCAGGCGTGATAGGAAGTAGGGAAGCTAACAGGAAACAAGTTGGTCAAGATGGTGTGATATCTCAGTGGCTTAAACATTCAGCTTCTTTCTTAACCACTTCTGTACAGCGCTCACCGGCCGTGAAACCTTGCCCACAGCCGGCACTCACAGTCCGCACGACAGTTTGTGCTGTGCATTGACGACGAATCTGTTTTGCTCTTGTGAGATGAGGAAAGCTTTAAAGCACTGAAAGCTTGTTTTACTTTACAGGCAGCTTTAGGAGAATAACTATAATAACTACTACTAAGGACTTGTTTAAAAAGGTCACAGATTCGTAGTAACTTATTAGCTGAATGTACACACTGCAACCACAGAGATAAAAGTAAAAGCTTTTGGCTGTCGACTAAAGTTGATGCTTGGCTGTGCGCCTTCATATCACGGCTGCTGGCTAAAGTCGACGCTCTTGTTCATCTGTGGCTGTCGACTATAGTCGACGCTGGGCTGTGCACCTTCATCTGTGGCTATTGACTATAGTCGATGCTGGTACCGAAGTGGTTAAATATTAAAGGCTTGGAAGGAGCCACGTTGGTGGCTGGATGACAGGGTAGACTGCAAAGGAGGCATTTGTCACTGAGGCCACTCCCTGTACTAGGGTGCTAGGGCTGCCATAGCAAAGTGCCACAAACCAGGTGGTTTAAACAACAGAAACTTATTATCTTCCAGTCCTGGAGACTAAAAGTCCAAAATCAAGGCGTGAGCAGGGTTGGTTCTTTCAAAAGGTGTAAGGGAGGATCTGTTCTAGGTCTCTCTCCTCGACTTGTGGGTGGGCGTCATCTCCCCGTGTCTCTGCACGCTGTCTCCCTCGTCTCCACACATCCCTCTGCATCCAAAGTTCTTTTTCATATAAGGACACTGTCATATTGGATTTGGGCCCACCCCGATGCCCCCATCTTAACTTGTTTCCGTGAAGACCTTGTCTCCAAAGAAAGTCAGATTCTAATATACTGAAGGTTAAGAATTCAACATGTGAACTTTGGGGGAGACACAGTTCAACCATGCGTTCAACCCATAACACACCCCTTCTCAGGTACAACCAGCCACTGATAGGGAGTGGACAAGGAGGTAGTTTAGTTCAGTTCAATTACAATTTACTGAAAGCCTAGCAGTCCGTCAGATACTAGATACATTCGGAGATGACTGAGGCATGTCCCTTCCTTGAGCAGTCATTGCATTCATGTTGTGATCTTGTTTGGTTGCTTGTCACTAGAGGTCAGGATCTCTGTGAGGCCCTAGGCACATAAATATGAATAAGAGGGGACCCTAACTGCCCAAGAAACATACAGAAACAATTACAACAAAACGTCAAAGTGCATCTAACCCGAGGATGGCATCACCTTGGAGGCGACGTTGGAACTAAATCTGAAGGATGGATGGGAGTTATCCAGATGTGACTTAGGTATCCTTGTTCATCCTCTGCTATGTCTGTAGCCTGCAGGCTGGAGACCCAGGGAGGAGTTGATGTTGCGGCTCGAGCTGAAAGGCAGATTGCAGGCAGAATTCCCTCTTCCTCGGGGAAGTCACTGTTTTTTCTCATAAGGCTCATCCAATTCATTGGAGGAGGTGCACCCACGTTATGGAGGCAATCAGCTTTATTCAAAGACTACTGATTTAAATATTACTCTTATCTAAAAAATACCTTTACAGCAGCATCTAGACTAGTGTTTGACCAAATATCTGGGTACTCTGGCCAAGTTGATGCATAACGTTAACCATCACACCCTCTGTTCCCAGTGTACTTGGGAACACAGAGGGTGCTCACATGGTCTGGTCTTACTGTCACACAAACTCCTGGTACATTCTGCCCCATTCCTCTTGGTATCTGGTGGTCCTGTACACCTGCTCACACATGACCTGAGTGTTGCTAGGAGACACCCTCACATGGCGATTGGTCATCAGGGCTGTGGAGATTCCAAGCACATGTAGGACATTGACTACACTTACTTAGAGGGAGAAGGTTGGCAGATGGAGTCTCAAAACCCAGGGTGATGTGCTCCCTCCTGAGATTCCCAGGTGCTGGGTGTGCAAGATCTGAGAGCAAAGGGTGATGTTGCCATGGAAGACAAGAGGGGAGGCATCTCTCTGGCTGCAGCGCAGGGTTGGTTTTCCTACCTAGCACAGCTCCCAGGCACGCCCGTGTTGCCCTCACAGGACACCAGTCTCCCCACTGGCCTAGCATTTACTTTACTCCCTGCTGAGATTGGAATCATTCCTAGGAAAAAAGTGCAAGATCTAATCCATCCAGTTTTCTTCATAACAGTCAACATTATCTGGCATTAAACTGGTGTGTTTGTCTCCTTCACTAGAGTATAAGGACTCTGAAGGCAGTTTGTTCATTTTTTTCCTTTCTCCTTTCTCTTTTCTCTCTCTCTCTCTCTCTCTCTCTCTCTCTCTCCTCTCTCTCCTCTCCTCTCTCTCCTCTCTCTCCTCTCCTCCTCCTCTCCTCTCCTCTCCTCTCCTCTCTTTCCTTTCTTCTTTCTTCTCTTTCTTTTTCCTTCTCTTCTTCTTTCTTCTTTCCTTTCGTTCCTCTTTCTTTCTTCTTTCTTTCTTTCTTTCTTTTTTTTTAATTCTTTCTTTGTCTTTCTTCTTCTTTTCTTTCTTTTCTTTTTCTTTTTTTTCTTTTCTTTTTCTTTCATCTTTCTTCTTCAAAATATTAAGGGAGTACAAATGTTTTCAGTTACATGGGTTGCTTTTGTAATGCTTGAGTCCCGGCTGTAGGTGTGCCCATCACCCAAAGAGTGTTCATAGTACCCGTTAGGTAGGTTTATTTCCCCTGCCCTCCTCCTCCATCCCTCCGGTAGATTTCCACTCAGTTTTACTTCCCTGTGTGCACATGTGTGCTCATCAGTTAGCTCCAATTTAATAGTAAGTATGTGTATTGTCTATTTTTCCATTCTTGAGATACTTCACTCAGGAGAATGGTCTCCAGTTCCACACCTTTCCTCAGTCAGAATGGCTTTTATTAAAAAGTCCAAAACAACAGATGCCGGTGTGGGTGCAGACAGAAAGGAACACTTATACACTGTTGGTAGGACTGCAAATTAGTACAAACCTCTAGGAAAACGTATGGAAATTGCCTCCAAAGAACTAAACGCAGGATCCGTAACCCATTTTGCACCTATGGTATCTACCAAAGGAGAAAGACTGTTTCATCAAACAAGACACTTGCACTGATATGTTTAAATTGCAGTACAATTCACAATTAAAGTAGTTCTTTCACCGTTCACTGCAATTTTGTAGTATCTAGAAGAGTATCTGGCACATTGTGGTCACTCAGTATATAATTGTGGAAGGAAGGAAGAGAAGGAGAGGAAGGAAGGAAGGAAGGAGGAAGGACAGGAAGCGAGAAGTGGAGGGAGGGAGGGAGGGAGGGATGGAGGGAGGGAGGAGTGGAAGGAAGGGAAGGAGGAAGCGAGAGGATAGAAGAAAGAGAAAGGGAGGAATGGAGTGTGGGAGGAAGGGAGGGAGGGAAGGGGGCAGTGATGATGTTCAGACCCAGGCCTCTGCTCCCTGACGTTTCCCTCCCAGTATTTTCTCAGAGTCACATTTTCCTGTTAAGTCTCTTCCTTTCCAATTCCCTGGCTCATTGGCTCACGATTATGGATCTTTATAATAGTAATCACCAACCCTTATCAATTGTTTAACATACACCCAGCATCATTCTAAGTGCTTTATAGTAAATCCTCATAGAATTCCTATGTGGCTGCTATTATCATACCTACTTTACAAGACCCTGAGGCACAGAGAGATATTAATATTAAATTTGTAAAAGTTACAGAACTGGTGTGTGGCAAAGTTTGATGTAAGCTTGGGCCATCTGAATGCAATGTCCACTCTTTTAAGCGTTGCATTATGCGTGCACACGCACACACACACACACACACACACACCCTGTAAAACCACTTGTTTTGTCCTCCCTCAAAGGTAAAGCAGGTCTTGCTTCTTAGAGACATTCCTTTATGCTGAGTGACCCCAACTCCACGAAGGTTGACAAAGGGACTTGCTGCACCTCTGAGAACCCAAGACACAAAGTGAGTCTCAGTGGGTCACACCTGCCTCCGTGTTTGCTGGGCGATCGGTACTGCCTAGTATAGCAATGTGGGAAACGGGAATCCACCCGTATAATTATGCTATAAATTATACTGGCATTGTGGAAGGATCTTGGGGCTCTCAGTTCTTTTGTTCTTTAATAGTTAAGCTAAATATTTTGGTCTTATCTCAAAACAATATTTATTTTTTAAAGTATCTTCATTCTTCATTTGAGAAGCTACAAATGTACTTTATAGAAAAAAATATTTCTTAACCTTTCCATATTATTCACAGTGTCTAAACCAGGGATATAAGCTAGATAGGCTAATAAATAATCGTATTGTGACTCATTCGGGTATTTCTATCATTTCAGTTCATTAAGCTGTCAAAATGTAAGTGTGTTTATGCTGAATCGCTGAAACATCTAACCACATCCATGCTCTGTACTGCCGCTGAAATTATCCCCCATGTCCTATTTTCTTCAGAAACCAAACTACAAATTCTTTAACACAACATTCAGGTTCCCTCCTAATCTGGCCCATTCTACTTGTGCAGCCATATATTTTACCAGTTTCACAAATTTTCCTAACACATCATGCATCTTTGCAGCTATGTACTTCTGCTTATATAATTGCCTCTTTTTAGAATGACCATCTCTCATTTTTCTCAGTGTATACTGAGAAAATAAATAAATAGATCCTCATTTATTCTTCAAAAGTCAGTTGAGAAATCACTTTTCCCATGTAGTATTTATTGACAACCCTAGAGTTGGCTATTCCACTTCGTACACCCATAATTCTAGTACATGATATAATGGCAGCACATAATATAATACATTATGATCTTAGAAACACATTGATTCCTGTATCCTAAATATCTGTCTAAGCCAGGACCTGGCATGAGCTATAGACTCATGAAGTCTTTTTTGAATGATTTCACTGCTCCCATATCCTTTCAAAACAAAAAAAAAAACAAAAAAAAAAACCAAACTGGTGAGAATGGCACATAGGATATCCTAAAACTTAACAATCAGAATGATCGGGTTGCTTTGGTATATAGTCATCTAATACCATGAACTACTGACTGAAAACCAATCACAAAACATACCACACATATTTAGCAGGTTTTAAAATTTAAAAACCTGAACAAGAAATGCTCATAACCCCCTGGATTCTACTGAGTTAAGTTATAAGACCCAAAATGTATTCTATTGCCAACTGTTAAAAAGTCCTTTTTAAAAATAGATTTTTCTGTATCTTTTTAAAGTTTTGGTTTTCTTGATCATAGGAGCAGATCCCACTATTTGCACAAAATTGAAAAATACAATAATGTAAAATGGAGAAAATAAAAACAATACATACAATTCTACATTCTTTAAAATAAGCACTATGAACAATTTGATGTGTTTTATTGTAGCCTTTTTTTCCTAATGGTATATTATATTCAAAATTAGTGACAAAGTGTAATGAAGGTGTTTACTATTCTATCCTTTCCACTTACTAATATTTTTGAACTATTTTCCAAGTCATTAAATATTACTTGAAAACATGATTTTTTATGGCAGAATACTTTCTGCTCACATTTATTTAGCTGTGCTCCTCTTGTTGCATATTTAGATTGTTTCCTTGTTGTTCTTTTGCTTCTATAAACACTGCTGTGATGCACATGCTTGAACATAAAGCTTTCTGCAATATTAGCTTGCATGAAGTGGCAGGATAATGTCATCAAGGTTATATGTCTCCTGTGCAGAGATTATGTGGATATAAATTTATGGACTATGTGTACTGCACAGACACAGTCTGTGGGAGTCCAGACTGAGGGACAAGGATGAGCCTGGCCACTAGCCATTCCCTGACCTGTCTGACCAAAGAGCAGTCCTCAAGTGATAGAGCCGGATGAGTATTTATGTGGGCGGGGCCTTCAGCCCTGAGATGAAGGGCTTTGGGTCCAGAAGAACATCACGTTGTGCACTTAAAGAGAAAATGTCACACGGTACACAGTAGCTTTACCCTCCTTCAGGACAGGAAGGGCTTCAGCTGCAGGGCCCACTGACTGTCCCACTTAGGAGAATGGTAGCACCCAATAAGAACTGTGTGAGTAGGAAGCAAGGAAAGCCCCCCAAGGCAGCAAAGGTAGCTCAGGGCTCCATATCCAAAGGCAGTACCAACTCAAGCCCAAGCAAAGATGCTGTTCATGTCCCAAAGGTCTGACCTAAGGGCAGTCTAGTCAATGCAGTACAACAAGCAGCATGCCACCGGCTTTGAACTCTTCTACCTACCCGGGTTCTGATTCTGGCATTGCCTCCTGCCAGCTCTTTGATCTTGTCCAGGTGTGTAACTACTCAATGTCTCAACTCCTCATTGTAAGACAGAGCTAATAATGTCTACCTTGACTTACAGCTGTAAGAGCTAGAAGTGTTTTATGAAATACTCAGAACAGTGCCATGGCACATAGCGTATACTCTGCAAATCATAGTAGCAAAAAGAATAGAAGGAAGAAAAGGGAGAAAGAGACATGTATTATGTCAGGTTTTTTGGGAAACAAACCCTGAGACTTCTGTGTGTGCAGAAGGTGTCTTCAGGAATGATTTCAAGACCCTGAGAGAGTGAGGGAAGCAGGACAGGACAGGCGAGAGGTCGAACTGCCACAACGCTGCAACAGAGACCTTGGGATGGCCCATCAAAGTTGTCTTGAATTGAAGCGAGGGACCATGCTCTACTCCCAAGGAATGAGAAGACACTGGGTGCAGACTGACCCCAGGGAGACGTGCCTTTGGTGAGGCAGCTCCCCTCAACCCACTCTTACAGCACCAGGCAGAATGAGCATGTTGGCCCAAAAGAGGAGATCTAGTTGGGACCAACTGTCAAACCACTGCATGTACTGCAAGGAGAAAATCTGCTGTTGATCAAATGCTTCTACTGCGTTCCAGGCACGGTTCCAAGTTACAGATATTAACTCATTTACTCCTTGAAACAGCCCCATAAGATAGGTACAGAGTTTTATTGCTGAGGACACTGAGAAAGATTAAAAGATTGACCCAATATCTCCCAGCCGTACCTGCCAGAGGCAGGATTTGAACCCAGGCAGCCTGACTACAGAGTCTGGGCTCTCAACTTCAAGGATAATAACAAACAATCTTGGCTCCAGAGGGACGACTCACTGCTTCATCTGATGTGGGGCAAAGTCTTGTTAAAGGCAGGATGTTGGTTTTCTATTGCTGTCATAACAAATTACCACCCATTTAGCAGCTGAAAACC